TTGTTGAAAACACACACACACACACACAAATATCTATACAGAAGTTAGCATTTTTAAATTACAAAGGCTGCAAAACTGAGTAGTAAATGGTAAATTAACACAACTAGAATCCCCTGCCACGTCTCATAGTTGAGCATGTGCTGCCTGCTTTTAAAAAATTCTTTTTAAGTTAATTTGTTTTCCCCACCCTGCTTCTTAGGGCTAACCTACTATGTCTTAGGGAACCTTGTGCCTTAAAAAGCAGGCTCAATAAAGTACATTTCTGCTCCTCTAACAGTCCTTGCTCAAAATTGAAAGTTCACGTGTAGTAATGGAAAAAGTGTACCAATTATGTAAATATGGAACAATATTTATTATTACACAAGGCTTCATTCTATTTGGAATATTACCATAATACTCTTAGAGTGTAAAAGAGTTTCATGTAGCAAGACAAGCATTTAAGATCTCCACTGTTTCTATTAAGACAGTGGATGGATAAAAAAATTGCCATATTTTTCTGTCTACAAAACGCCCACATGTATAAGATGCCCCCTATTTTGGGGGACTCCGATTTAAGAAAAAGGGGGGAGGTGTATCCGTGTATAAGGTAAAGGTAAACGTACCCCTGCCCGTACGGGCCAGTCTTGCCAGACTCTAGGGTTGTGCGCTCATCTCACTCAAGAGGCCGGGGGCCAGCGCTGTCCGGAAACACTTCCGGGTCACGTGGCCAGCGTGACGAAGCTGCTCTGGCGAACCAGCACCAGAGCAGCACACGGAAACGCCGTTTACCTTCCCGCTATAAAGCGGTACCTATTTATCTACTTGCACTTAAGGGTACTTTCGAACTGCTAGGTGAGCAGGAGCTGGGACCGAACGACAGGAGCACACCCCGCCGCGGGGATTCAAACCGCCGACCATGCGATCGGCAAGTCCTAGGCGCTGAGGTTTTACCCACAGCGCCACCCGCGTCCCTATAATCCGTGTATAAGATGCCCCCAAATTGTTGACATTATTTTTTTTGGGGGGGGGACCTAGTCTTATACAGGGAAAAATACGGTAAATGGGTATCTAACAAGAAAGAGAACTGAGTCTGTAAAAGTTATTTTGAACAAAAGGGTTGCCTAGACTTTTATCAAATTACAGTGGTACCTTGAGTTAAGAACTTAATTCGTTCCGGAGGTCCGTTCTTAACCTGAAACTGTTCTTAACCTGAAGCACCACTTCAGGTTAATGGGGCCTCCTGCTGCTGCCGCACCGCCAGAGCACGATTTCTGTTCTCATCCTGAAGCAAAGTTCTTAACCTGAGGTACTATTTCTGGGTTAGAGGAGTCTGTAACCTGAAGCGTCTGTAACCTGAAGTATATGTAACCCGAGGTACCACTGTATGATTAATTTCCAAACCATTAAGTATTACAGTGTGGAATAAGGATCTGGAATGAGAGATTCACAAATATTTCCATAGTAATTAAGGTAATTGGCTTATTCTACTGACCTTAAATTAACTGAGAACTATAAAAAAATATGCAAGATAGTACGTGACACCTTAGAAGTTTAAAAGTTTGGGATTTTTTGTTATTTAGTATAATTGATTTTTAAAAAATATTTTAAACCCACTGCCAGAACTCCCAAAAGTAATTGCAGAGTTTGTAGTCTAATACAAGGTAGATATTTTGGTTCTCTTTTATTGCATCAATAAAGTAACTGGGTGTTCTTTTATTTAATAAAGGCTGAAATAAAAGGACTTCCAGTGGAGCATGCAATTTAACAGTCACAATGAGAGTAAGAAGTGCTCCACCCAATTCTGTCAACAATACCGCATTATTCTTTTCTGAAGAAAAGAGCTTCAAATGCTTTTACATTTCAACACAGGGAAAGTGCTCTACCCCTTTATCATTCTGGATGACTGCCCAACCCCTTCTGCCCTTTTCTAGCTCTATAGTATCTTTTTTGAGACAGGTGATCAGGAATGTACACAAATTTTCCACCCCTAGGCAGTGGGCACCCAAAGCAATTTACGGCAATTCAGCACAATCAGATATAATCCACAATCTGAACGTCTAATGAAATTGCTTAAAGTGTATTCATGCCAATCCACAACAGCGAAAGAAACACAAAAGTCAAGTATTTTCAACGTGCCTATGATAATCTAATAGCATATTCCAACCTTAATTTCATCCAGCGCACCTGAATATGATCTGAGTACCGTTAACTATTTCTCTTCTGCTCTCAACTTCATTTGTTAGACTGAAAGTGTACCTCATCCATTGCTAGATGATGTAGCCAATGTAAAGTCTTTCAGATATTTGGGGTACAGCTCCCATAAGCCCAGCCAGCACGGTCAGGCATGATGGGAATTGTAGTCCAAAACATTTGAAGAACACCATGTTTTCTACCCCTGATGTAATTTCCACAATGCCACCAATAAACTACAATCTCAGGTTCCATTTCTCCACTAATTTGTACTATAACCGGAACCTGTTTTTCATTTTATGTGAACTAAGTTTTAAACTGAGGAGTTACTATATTAAGTTGCATCTCTAACACATTTCTCTGCAGTGTGCTATTTGCCCTTCAAACATCCTACCACGAAAAGAGATGTGTGCATTAAAATTGCTTTCCCTAAGTTGTGAAAGCAATTCTGTTCTTATCATCTGGAGTTAGTTCCGTCTTCAATCTTGTTCTAGCAATAGCAAAGAAATCATGTACTGGGAGAAGAGAGATAGGGTCAATCAACACACAAATGAGAAAGCTATGCTATGCTGGCATTAGAGAAACTTCTGTGACAGAAGTTTGTTTATAAAGCTATACATGGAACCACATTTCTTTGGCAGTTTTTATGCAGATGGGAATTACCGTTCTCGTTTGACTAAATTTCCAGCAATTATAAATTAGACAGACATGGTTAGCTGGAATTGCAGGGTGATATCCAAAGCTTTTGACAGCTGTAAAACCTTACAAGGAGGAGAAATATCACATCAGAAGCTCCATGAACATAATGGTATCACTGTTCCCTACTTCAGCAACTGTCTGCACCCACAAACTGAACTCATTAAAATTCACCTTTTTAGGTATTACTTGTGAAATAACAAGTCAGTGTTATATAGTAGTAACTCTGCACAGCTCCTTCATCTCCAACACTCCAGGCATCTGCTATTGGTTTCCAATATGCTTATAGGTGGCAGATACACTGGAAACGTAAGCTGAGTTTCAGTATAATATCATGCTTTCATCCACACAAGTTATCCCTTAGAGGAGAGCTGGCAATATTGCAAGAATCAGCTTTGGGAGACATAAGCTCAAGTTCAGATCAGTTTCCACAAGCATTCCTTTAATTTACAATTTTTTCATCTATGCCTCCTGTATTGCCAAATGCAATTCAGTCAGTCTTTCATCAGGAAGAGAAAAAAATCATTACATTTCTATAAATATGTTTAGTTTAAAATATAATACTGCCCTCTTCCTTTGTTGCTCTGACAACTTCTCTTTACAAAGAAATGCTTATTTATTTAGAATATCTGTAAAGCACTTCTTCAAAAGAATTTTCCAAACCTACATAGGGCTAAAATCTGTATAACAAAAACAGGCCGTGACCATTTCAGATGCATCTTATGTGCACGATCTCACATGCGCAGACCACGTCAAACCTGGATGTAACCCATAAACATCACAGAAAGGGTCTAGAACATAACCCTCGCGCAAATCAGTCATTGCCTATATTAAAAACCATCATAATTAAAAACAAATATAAAAAACCAACAACACTTTAAAACAAATAATAAGTAATCAAATCATTTTCCCGGATAAGAAAAGTTTGCAGCAAGCATCTAAAACAATGTAGTGAGAATGGCTCACAAGAGCAGAGAACATTAAAGGAACAACTTCTCAGAAATGTGGAACAAATATTATGTGGAAATCGTAAAAGTACAAGTTCTCCCAAACAAAGTGATCAAATAGGCATACATGGAGCATGGGGATCCCTTAAGTAACCAGGTCCCAAGCTATTAAGAGCTTTATATACCAACAGTTGAACCACAGAAGATTGTTGAGCAAAAGCATAATATGCCAACAGAACTGAAGTCTTGTCAAGCAATCTGGCTGTAGCGGTTTGCACAAACTGCACAATGTAGAAACTACCCTGTAATGAGTCCTGAGGCATCATCGGACTCAGAAGTGGAGTACCAGGCTGAGACAGAATAGGGGGAAAGGAGATGACATGGGGAGTTAATACTGGGGGAAGAAGGCAGCTGCCCTGGCTGGGGAACGAGGACTCCCATCTTCCTTCTTTCCTCCCAGGGAGACGAGGACAACAATGGGTACCTCATGGGGTGATGGGGAGGGCACAGCCTGGTTGCCCAGGATCCAGTGGAACTGCTGTCGCTGGGAAAATGCATCCTCCCCAACCCAGAGAGCATCTGCATGCTTGGTGATCTTGCAGGGCATGAGTCTTGTGAGTAAGCATGCCTTGCCCTGTCTTGGGCCAGGGGCTCTTCGGATCTAAGCCAAAGTGTTTGCCTAAATCAGGAATGTGGAATGTGTGGCCCTCCAGATGTTGTAGACTACAACTCCTCATCGTTCCCGACCACTTGGGCCTAAAAGGAGATGGAACAAAACAAAAAAAAGGGAAGGCTGAAGGACCCCCACTCTGGCCTAAATAATAGACTAAGTTTCCTGAACCCTAGGAAAGCAATCTGGACCAACTTAGGAATTCTCTACAGGAAGGGTGCATGGAGTAAGTTCTGCACAAGTTGAGTTCTTTCTATGTTTTTACTGCAGACAGACAACTACCAAAGAGGTCAGTACATCTTATGCTGATATACAATTAATAGCAATCAAAATACAATGAGCCACTAATATTGCTCATTGGCACACCTCAACCGCAAAGGTACAAACCCTATGAAGGAAGGAACAGAAATATCCCTAATGTGTTTTGAACACAAAATCCTCGGCCAATAAAAGTCTCCACTAGAAAAATAAATTGGATTCTCATCAGAGGTTTTTATGAGTAAATCACAGCAACTTACCTGTATTTTGTGCAGGTAGAATTTTGACCTGAAGGGCCTTCGGGATTAAGAGTGACTTGTGGTGAAACCTGAGCTGACAGCAAAAATCCAAAAGCTAAAATAAGAAGTGCAACTGTAGTGCCTACAAGAAAGAAACAAAACACTTTAGTTCGGAACAGAATTTTACTAACACAAATGTGCTTCTGTAGCAGAAAACTGCTATTTTGTTCAATTTAACAATGTTGAGCTGACTTTGTCCGTTGCAATAAAGTATTTATATTAGGCACCTAACTCCTTGACATATGCAATGCTCAAGAACATCACGTAACACAGAATGGCCAGGAACGTGGGACTGGGTTGCTACTTTGATGAAAAATTCCTCACAATATGTTGCTGCTTCATCCATGTTGCTGCTTAGACCAGGCAAGAAATGATTTATCCTTACTGTCAGGGAACTGCCATTGGTGCAGGAGGGGGAGAGGAAAAGCCGGATGGATTACAGAGAGCCCCCAAAGGTCGTGGAAAGCAGCTCCTCCTTGGCGGGGGAGAGTAACCACACCTCCAGTGGAGAGGAGCTGCAGGGTTCAGAGGAGGCGAGGCATTGCCAGGACACTTGCCTGGGCAAAGCGGGGAGGGGAGAGGTCCTCTGTTACCCACGCCCTCCTTGCGCAGTAAGGTTTCGCGCAGACAGGGGAAGCGCAGACTGGGCGTCAAGAAATTACTTTGCTGGGGAAAGTTTAAGCCCCACCCACTCATGGATTCTGCCAGTGAATGAGTCAGCCAGGGGAGAGTGGCGCTCCGGACAGATAAAGTTTATTTTGCAGCAAAAGCAAGGCTTCACAGCCGAGTGGGGAGGTATTTGCCTGCTTGCTCTCGAGCAACCCCTTGGAAACATAACACTTACAATATAAGAAAGGAGGCTGGAACCTTATGGCTGCAAAGTCCTACACTACCTGCAACTTCAAGCCTCCCTAAACAAGAGACAAATGAGAGCCTCTGCAGGTCTTCCTCAAAAATGAGAACACAACACTTAGTCAGAGCCAGCCAAGTAGCAGGTGTTCATAAGTTCTTGTTGAAGCTCACTTGCTAAGTGTACTTTGAGGGAAAGGATAGTTCTGCCTCTCAGCAGCATTGAAAATTTAGATCAGGCGGGCAATGACCCTTCCTTCTCATCTCTGAAACATGCTGAAGCATGTTGAAGCACTTGAAAAATCTGCGACATTCAGTCTGAAATCCAGTCTCTTTATAGTAAGATGTATTCACTGAAATCTGTCAGCAGAAATTACAGTACTCTACAGGTTTGACTAGGATGGAGTTTCAACACCCCTGTTTTCAGAAAAAACAGCAAACTGATTTCTTTATTTAAAAAATGCTTGAATTACTACGGGGTTTCAAAAAAGGAACTGGAAATTGAAAACAGTCACCAGCTGAGAAAAGTTAGTTACTCATTGTTACTGAAAATTACTATTTCCAAAATGCTTTACATTACGAGCTCTTACAGTGGTTTAGGGCAAACAGAACAAGGTATCTCTTGGAATTTCAACATAGAAAGCACAATCAAATCAAAAGCAGACAGCTGATTAAATAGAAGCTGTATTTGGTATTTATTTGCTTTGGCTTATATCATGCAAACCTGTGGCTTACCAAGAGCATGCAGATGTGGAGGCCGTGGAGAGCTGCTCAAAGCCTCTTTCTTCCTCCTTCCTCCCTTTTACTGCTGCACTATGCAGAACCAGGTTAACATTTGGCTTAGTGTGTCATCCAAACTGGGTTCCACAGGTCAGCTATCACTCACAAATCACAAGCTGTAGCCAAGGTTTGTTCTTGGCTCCAGCTCGGGGTTGAGGCAAGAGCTTACCCACAAATTGCAGTGCCGACACACAAGCCAAGCCTTGGCTTTGTTCAGGAGGAACGAAAAAGACCAGCAAAGCAGCTGTGAGCTCTTCTCTGGGTGCCTGCCCTTTCACATGGTCTAGGGAAGTCTAACTTTGGTTTACCACGTTGTGTGAACCAGGTCTAGGCATACAACAGTGAACACTAAATAAAGATGAGCACATCATAGCTAGTTCACTTCTCAATGCAAACCAGGCTGGATAAAAACTATTTACATGGGCAAATTAATTTAGAAACTCCTAAGAATGTGCACAGAAGACTGAGAGTTACATTATTTTACTGTGCAACACTGATATCAAGATTAGCTCTTACGAAGGCTTACCATTCTACACTGTTACTTATAGAAGCATAGAATTGTAGAGTTGGAAGGGACTGTATGGGTCATCTATGCAGTGCAGAAATCTTTTGCCTAATGTGGGGCTCAAACCCACAAGCCTGAAATTAAGAGTCTCATTCTCTAACAACTGGGCTACCCCAGGTCTTCAATTCATAACTGCTGGTTACTGGTTGCTATTCCTGCTCCCAAGGCTAGGAACTGAATCAATGGATCCAAGTTACAAGACAGGAGATTCCTGCTAAACCTCAGGAAAAACTTTCTGGCAGTTAAGAGCTGTTTGACAGTGGGACAGACTCCCAGGAGAGAATTCCAGGTGGACTCACCTTCCTCGGAGGTTTTTAAGCAGAAGGTGTTTGGCCATCTGTCATGTATGATCTACAGTGGTATCTTGGTTTAAGAACAGCTTAGTTTATGAACAACTTGGATTAAGAATGCTGCAAACCTGGAAGTAGGTGTTTTGGTTTTTGAACTTTGCCTTGGAAGCAGAACACATTCTGCTTCCTGTTGAGTGTGTTCCATTTGTAAATTGAGTCCCCCACTGCTATGGGAAAGCACACCTTAGTTTAAGAACGCTTTGGTTTAAGAATGGACTTCAAGAATGGATTAAGTTTGTAAACCAAGGTACCACTGTAGTTTAAACTCCTGCATCACAGGAAATTGGACTAGATGACACTTGGTGTCCCAACTCTACAATTTTATAATTTGATTGCTCACATGCTTATGGGGGTATATATGCTTATTACCTTTCATTCTAAACCTGCAGAGAGGCAACTCATCCAAAAGAACCCCAAATATGCCACACCTGATCAACACAGGCCTGCCTCTTCCAAAACCTACAGACACCAACTTGGCTTGTTAATTTAAGAAGCTTTAAGAGAAATCTTCTGCCATTCTTATTGCATTTCCCTGTCTCAATAAACTTTCTTCTACGCAGTCCATCTTGGCCTGAAACAACATGTCACACAATAACGAAGAGAACTAACACAAAGTTGTACCTGCTAAGCTTCCGAGGGTGAGTTTTCGCCGGCCCACTTTCTCAACAAGCCAGACTCCAACAAGAGTGAAAATGAAATTAGTAAATGCTGTCACTGCAGCAAGCCAAATTGCAAGCCGGTCATCTTGAACACCGGACATCTGCATAATGGTGGCACTGTAATACCTGAAAAGTTAAATAAAGGAGAATAAAAAGCATTGCCCCTGATTTGGTCAATGATAAAACGATTTCATATATGGGTTTTCATTATGGAGAGTACTGCATGAGGTTTCTACATTTGGGCAGTTACAATGTTTTCTTTTACAATGGCACTAAAGAACTGAACACGTCCTGTGCTTTGCTGGGCAGCTGGACTCGGGAGACTCCAGAAACTTGTTGCTTAAAAGGCTCTGAAATTTCCAACACATGTCCTAGGAAAACTTTTCTCCTGACACTCACAAATCCTTGTTGCTTTGAGGCCAGTTGGGGACAACACTGGAGAGATCTTCCTACAGAAGAACATGAGAAAGGGATGGAATGTTGCCACGGAGAATGTGACACCAATTAAGAGTGTTAATTCATAATAAACTTAAGAATTAAAAACTCTTAATTGCTATTCTCCACTCCTGTAAGAAGGACAGATCCTGAAGCTGAGGCTCCAATACTTTGGCCACCTCCTGAGAAGAGAAGACTCCCTGGAAAAGACCCTGATGTTGGGAAGGATGGAGGGCACAAGGAGAAGGGGACGACAGAGGACGAGATGAGTGGACAGTGTTCTCGAAGCTACCAGCATGAGTTTGACCAAACTGCGGGAGGCAGTGGAAGACAGGAGGGCCTGGCGTGCTCTGGTCCATGGGGTCACGAAGAGTTGGACACGACTAAACAACAACTCCTGTAAGTTAAATTATAATTTCTATACTGCCATTCATCAGGGAATCACAAGGCAGTTTACAATATAAAAACATAAAAATACATTCCATAGTAATAAACAAAAACAGTTTAAAAGGGCATAGATTGTTTAATCAGCCAAAGGTCTGGGAAAAGAGGAATGTTTTTGCCTTGTGCCTAAAGATATGTAATGAAGGTGCCAAGCGAGCATCCCTGGGGAGAGTGATCCACAAGTGGGGAGCCACTGCAGAAAAGGCCCATTCTCATGTTGCCACCCTCTGGACCTCTTGTGGAGGAGGAACACAAAGAAGGGCCTTTGAAGACTCTTCCAGTGTCTATATTACATTCAAACAAAATGTGTTGCTGTTGCAGGCTATAAAAGTGCTTGTCCCTAGTGGGTCTGCTGAGCAGTCTATTTAGCACACATTTCAAAATAATGGCATTTAACAAGTGCTATAAACTTGGGGGGGGGGTGTCCGAAATCTTATGCTTAGACATGACAAATTTAAGCCAACCTTTAAAGCAAAAGGATTCATCTTTGTCCTAAACGGCTGGTAGTGTGTTCTTATGACAAGATTGCATGTCAAATTTCAAAATGGATTTCTAAATTACTACTACAAGTGCTATCACTCTGAAATGCTTCAGTGAGAATTATTTAAGCATTCAAGTTCTTGATTCCAAATTGCAAAATCTTTCAGGTTTTGATGAAGTCACCAGCAAACAAAATGCTGCAGCCCAGCTTTCATTTTAAGTCTGCACTTCATTTCTACGAAATGCCATCTCATCAACACCCAAAGATTTTATGATCCAAAGAAACGTAATGGTTGTGATCTTTTGTTCTGCTATAACTGAAATATTCTGGAATCACCAAATCATTTCTATTTTACCATCACATAAAATACCAAAGGATGCTGGTACTTTCAAAACCTCTCAGAGCCAATTCATCCTTTCTGCTCATGTTTTTTTCCCTTATTATTACATTAGTCCTTCTCCTCCTGCTTTCAGGGCAGGGGTCTGATTGCAGATTCAATTAATCTGTGCTTTCCACAAGAAAACTGTGACAAAGCTTCCATTTAGCCTCCTATTCACAAGAAAGGGTCTCTATTGTTTAGACACAATCTTAAACCATAGTGAATTCGTCCCTATCTCATATGCTCCCTTCTTCCATGACACAGCCATGAGCAGATTGGCAGGGTTTGCATCTGTTTCAAGATAACCAGAATTATTCATTATATCTGAACTCAGAAAAGCAGTGGTTAATCTTAACTATAGTTTAAGGCAGGGATGGGGAAACTCTGTGGCCCTCCAGATATTATTGGATTTGAATTTCCTTCACCATGGCAACACATGGCAGGCCACAGCTCCTGCATCCCAGTGCAAGACTAACCAGAGTTGCCTGAAAGCAGAAAGAAGAGCTTCCAATCTCTTTGCAGCTACACCAGAGCAGCAGGAAAGGGAAATATGGGCACTCCAGACTTGTGCACATAATGCTAAGCCATAATTATGTCTGGAATAAATCACTATCAGTTCCTGACTATGACAAAAGTCTAACTGATTAAACTTCATTTTCAAGCATAGTTGGCAGACAGACAGCTGCTACCTGCTCAACTAAGGACACTTAAAAGAAAAACTTTTCTTGATAGAAGTCCTCTCAGATGCTCCAACTTTTAAATTGAAAAAGATTCCAGTGGACAAGCCACGGCTCCTTGTATTTCTCAGAGTTGGTAGCAGAGACCGCCAGAGGGAGCCCTCACAATAAACAGTATACTTCTGAGGAAGTGGTGCTTTTGAGACAGTCGCTCACCTATAAGTATCAGTTCTGTATGTAGCACAAGCAATCACGCTTTCACATGATGGAATGAATAGACTAAGTATTCTAGGCTAAGAACACAATTCAGGAACAAGAGACACACTGGAACTGGGACAAAAGAGGAGACAAGACTAAGGTCTACAGGCAAATTAGACAAAGGCTGAAAGGTGGACCTTTAAAATGCGTGAAAAGGTAAATTTAATATATCAATGTATTTCAGAACAATCACCACTCTTTCCCCTTTTCAAATGTTCCTGCTCACTACATATTGACATTTCAGTAATATGCGCTTGTTAGTCCCTTTCCCCCTATGAATTACATCTGGCTCAAAATTACTGCCTGCAATTTTTAATCCTCAATCTGAAATCTTAAACTATTTCTTTGGATGTCACTGTGTCATTGCAGATAAGAGAAAGAAGAAATCCCAAATGTCAGTATCATTCATAATTTAGATTTTCTGTTTAGCTCATCAAACTGCTGGATATGAAACCCAAACAAGTGAACACTATGCTTCCTCAGTGAAAACGATGCTGTCATCCTCTTAGTTTCTTAACTCTGTAATTATTTAACCTTCATAGTATACCTCCTCTCTTTATAGGAGGAGCATCTTTTGCAAACTGATTCTTAATGAAGTTGGCTTTTCAGTGGTTTGACAGACTTTTCAATCAGTTAAATAGAATGAATGTTCCCAGTGCAAAAGCACCTTTCAGCAGTCACAGTAGTTTCTCTTTCAGAGCCATGATATTGTTACATACCTTTTACAATGCAAAAATAGCAAGAACTATTTTTTAACACATTAATGCAGTTTAGGAAAGTGTCTAGGAAACCGCTTTCTCCACAACTTGTAACTCAACTGCGAACTCAGCTCAAGGCAAAATGATACCACAAGCAGCACTCTAGCAAAATTGTTAAAGCTTTAGAAAAGAACTGAAGCAAATAGTTTTAAAACTGACTCATGTACCTTCTTCTACCTTCACAATACCAATTCTTATGGGACTATTTTATCCATTTGACTCCAAAAATGGTATCTTGTAGAAACACAGTGAGATACTGAAATTCAAAATGCTGTTCAAATATGACTGTGCTTAACCAAATCAGGTTTGTGTTGTTAATATATACAATTCCTGTCAGAAGAAGAGGGGAAGATTGAAGCACACAAGTCGGTTGATTCACATTATGCTAAAACCCAGTGTCTGAACCCAGCTATTGGCTATTCTTCGCCTCCATTTCCGCAAATCAGAAAACAGTGCTGCTATCTTGCAAATTTTGCAACCATTGAGCCCAGATTAGTCTCACACAAACCAAAGGAACATTTTACAAGGCAGTATATATGACAAGAACGAGAGGGTGGAGGGGAGAAATCACTGAACTGAAAGTGTTCCATTTAAAGCTTGGTAACTAGAAAAAATCTGAACGTAAAGAGTACAGTCCATTCATTATGTGCAGCAAGATATTTCTTTCCTGAGTAGCAAAAACTGTCCCACAACTGTTTCAACACGTGAGGTTAAAAACCAGTTTATCACACACACAAAAAGAGCCCACAATGGTCTTGTAATATACTCATGAATGGTGTATTTAATATAGTCATGCATACTTACTTTCATGATCCAGTAAAGGTAAACTATATTTCTTAAGGATTAGCGAATTTATTTTTTTCCCTTTAGGGCAGATGAGGCTAACTTGTAACTCTCTGTTGACCATGCTAGTTGTGGCTGATGGGAGTTGAACAGCTTAGCCACTCCTGCTTAAAGGTAACACATTCACCATCTTTCTGGGCTTTTGCACATGCACATCAGTGACTGTATAGAAAATTTCCTGAAGTTCTGAGAAGAAAACAACACATACACTAGCTCAGTTCAGACCATTCTGTAGCCATGATATGATGGATCAGGAACAAGATGAGAGGCCATATGCTACCTCTCCCCACTATATGCAACTCCATTTTCTATTTCCGGCCTTGATATTGACATTCTGCTGTGATGTCCCAGTTAGCAAACTATGCTTTACTGCTTTCCATTCAAACCAGAACCAGAAACCCTTGGTTTGAAGCATCATCTAAATTGCTTCAGTGATGCTTTCTGTGACAATATAACCATGTTCAATCCTTAATGTGGTTTTGGAATCCATCTGCCGAGACAAAATCCTCGTCTAATGGCTACCACATAGCTATTTTTAAACTCTTCCTTGTTGTTCCAGTGCTTTGGAGCAAGATAGCTTGATAAAGGTGCAGTCATGTATGAGTATCTCTTAGTTCAAGTCAAGTATAGGCAATCATGCTAAACCACTTGACTTGTATCTCTTTTTTTACTTCTACCTCTTTCATCAGAGCGCTTATTAATCTTTGCCACTCTTCTCTCAGATGTGGCGTGTCTTCCTCTGCTGCACATCTACACAATCTTTAAACAGAATGGATTGTGCCTCATCCATTCCAGTACTGCGTTGTATTTATTGCTTTTGGTGAAAGGTCTTAGCAAATACACACAGTTAC